AAGTCAACATTTGACCTCTCTCAAATTTACAAGTCAAAACTGACTCCGCCCAAGTTGGTGAGACAAAATTCGACCTCGCTCGAATTTACAAGTCAAAAGTGACCTCGCCCAAGTTGGCGAGATGAAATTCGACCTCGCTTGAATTAACAAGTCAAAAGTGACCTCGCCCAAGTTGGTGAGACAAAACTCGGCCTCGCTCGAATTAACAAGTCAAAAATGGCTTCGCTCAAAACTGACTTCGCTCAAATTTGCAGACAAAACTCGATCTCACTCGAATTAACAAGTCAAAAATGGCTTTGCTCAAAACTGACTTTGCTCAAATTTGCAAGACAAAATTCGAACCCGCTCGGGTTAACAAACTCAAGTTCCAGTTAGCAGGTCGAATTTGATACCACTCAGATCAACTACTAGAAGTTAGGGACTTATTTCCAGAAAATCTAGGAAATTTGAAAAGGAAAAGAGAAGGGAAAGCCAAAAACATACTAACAAGGAATAGCCGACTATTTCATTTGAAGAAAAGATAAGTATCTTACAAAGGGCCAAAAAGGGGCCCCCACCCAGCAACAACAAAAGAACAGAAAAAAGCTAAGTACAAAAAGCTATAAAAATTTCACTCGGTTTCCTCTCCACCACCGTCCTCTCCAGCATTGTCATCATCGAAAGGAAGCCAATCTTCAATCTCAGCGCCTCCACCGACCTCCGGTGTCGCAGGGTCATAACCATAGGCAAGACAAGCCTCACGTGCCTTAACCCGAGCATCTTCAAAAGCGACCTCAGAAACTATAACGACCCGACTGGTCGTTTTACTTTCTAGAACATCGTTCCCATAAATAAAGCTTTCCGTACTTGCTTTTATTGATTTATGACTTGCGGGGATAGTTGGTTCGGGATTTGGAAGAGTTTGGGTTGAAATCGGAACACTTGGTTCCTTAAGGTTGGCTTAAAAGGCCAAGTTTGACTTCGGTCAATATTTTGAGTAAACGACCTCATAAATGGGATTTTACGATTCCGATAGGTTTGTATGACGATTTCAGACTTGGGCGTATGTCCGGATTGAGTTTTGGATGACCCAGGAGCGTTTCAGCGCCTAATAATGAAAGTTGATTTTTGAATGTTTTAGAAGTTCTTTAAATTTTAGTTTAGAGTGGGTTTTGGTGATATCGAGGTCCAAATAGAATTCCGAGACCGACATAGATCCATAATGTCATTTAAGACTTGAACGCAAAATTTGGTATCATTCCGAGTAGTATAAGCACGCTTCGGCACATTAGAGGTAGATTGAAGAACTTGAAGTTCATAAGTTTGATTCAATTAGTTTTAGGATGTGTTTCTTAGTTTTAATGTTGTTTCGGGTGTTCCGAGGGTTCGAGCGAGTCTGTTTTATGATTCCAAACTTATCGGTATGTTCGGGCGGGGCCCCGAGCGTCAATCGGATAAGGCTTGAGCTAAGTTGAAAATTTGGAGAGGGAGCTGAATCTCCAGTTGCTGTCATAACCGCACCTGCGGTTGGTCAGCCGCAGATGCGAGCCCGTAGGTGCGGGACTTGATTCGCAGATGCGGCCAAGGGTGGGCAGCCCAGAAATCGTAGATGCGGACCATCCTTCGCAGAAGCAGAATTGCAGAAGCAGTGGGCATTCCACAGAATCGGCCCTAGTTGGCCCAGCCCACTTCCGCAGAAGCGACCACTTGCCCGGAGAAGCGAGACCTCAGATGCGGTCAAAGCACCGCAGGTGTAGAAATCGCTGAAGACATTGGCCTTAATTTAATACGAGAGTTAGTCATTTCTGACACATGTCACTCCATTGTTGGACGATTTTGGAGCTTCTTAAGAGGGGTTTTCCACCAAGCTTCTTGAGTTAAATAATTCCTACTATATGTAAGTTAAATACTTAGATTTTGGATAGATTTACATGTAAAACTTAGTGAAAATCATGGGATTATGAGGAAAACCTAGGGTTTGGCAAGAATAAGATTTTTACCACGAAAATCACCATGAAACTTAGTAATAATCATAAATCTATGTTCCTTAGAGTATGGGTAACAACTTTCTTCGAATATTTTTGGGATCCGGGCACGTGGGCCTGGGGTAAATTTTAGGAATCTTACCTTTGGGGTTGGGTAATTATCTTAATAGCTAGAATATGAACTTGTGAACCTATAATGATTGGTTTTTACACTATTTGAATAGTTTCGGATTGTTTAGCTTCGGTTTGAGCGCATTCTTGAGTTGGAAGTAGGATCGAAACAAGGTAAGTCTCTTTTCTAACCTTATAAGAGGGAAATTTCCCCATAGGGGAACTTAATTAATATAAAATTAATTATGGGGGCTACGTACGCACGAAGTGACGAGAGTCCGTATGCAGTTACTATTCCTGTTATGTCCGGGTAGTTCTAAGCTTACACCCTGCTTTGTGGGTACCGTTATATGATTATAATTGTTGATTTGCATTGAATGGAACTAGTTGAAAATGTCATGATTTTTCAAAGATTTCAAGTAAATTATTATTTTGAAAAGAAGTGAGGGAACATTACGTTATATTTATATGTAACCACGTGGCAAGTATATTCCACGAGCGCGGTAATTATTTCCACTACTCTCATGGGAGCAGGCCGTTCACCTCGGCAGGTTAATAAATATATATATGGTGTGTACATTTTACTTTTATGTTTGATCAGACCGAACGTCTTCGGTGGTATTTGTGTGTGATAATAGAACCGGAACTCCTCATAATTCGTATGATTCATTGCTTGAAAACTCACTTGTTTTAAATGAAAAAAGTGACTTAATTTCTTAATTTTATGAAAAGATTTTCAGTATTATTCTTGTTTGAGCTTGTTGTTATCTACATACATTGTGATCTAAAATATTTAACTTCATATTATTATATTGCTGGCCCTAGCAAGTGTCGGTGTCAACCCCTCGTCACTACTTCTGCGAGGTTAGGCGAGATACTTGCTGGGTATATATTTTTATGTTCTCACGCTACACTTCTGTACCTGATTGTATAGGATTTGAGGTAGGTGCATCTCACCATCAGACCGGCACGTAGAGTGGAATCCTCAGCTTGAGACTTTCTGGTGAGCTGCCCCTTTTGAGCCGTTATACAACAACTGGAGTCTCTCTATATCTTTATTTTCCTGTCTATTTCTTTTTCAGATAGTAGGATAGTATGGTTTTGTATATTCTGCTAGATTACCCACATACTTATGACACCAGGTCTTGGCACACACATTGGTAGACTCATAATTTTTTTGGTTACTATTATGATTTAAGTTCGTATTTATTACTTCCCTCTAATTATGCTTAAGTTTCAAACTCCTCATTTCTTTTCAATAAGGAAACGATTTCCCATACTAATTATTTAAATGAGAATTTACTATGGTTAGTTTTGGCTTGCCTAACAATTGTATTTGGCGCCATTACGGCCTAATATGGAATTTGGGCCGTGACAACATGGTAGCAGAGCACTAGGTTCACGTAGGTCTCACAAGTTATGGGCAAACCTGGTAGAGTCTTACGGATCAGTACAGAGACGTCTGTACTTATCTTCGAGAGGCTATAAGGTGTTAAGAAACTACTCTTTATTCATATTCTATCATGCAGTCGATGGTATACTAAATTTTCTTCTTCTATTCTGTCACAAATGGTGAGGACACGTACAATGAACATTCCAAACCTGGTAGGAGCTGCCCCCCGTTGCTAGAGGCTAAGGCAGAGGCCGAGGGAGGGCACTGGCCCAAGTAAGGGACGAGGGCGTCCCAGAGCTGCCCTAGTTGCACTACCGACAGATCCAATAGGGGATCTCATTATTGAGGAGCAGGGCGAGGTGCCCATAGCAGAGCCTACCCCGGCGGATTTCATGGGCCGTATGCTGCGGTTCATGGACTCTATGACTCAGGATGGTTTATTTCTAACAGACCCAGCCACATCTTAGATAGGAGGGGGAGCACATACCCATACTGCTCAAGCTCCTGGGCACGCATCTGTCATATACCAGACTCTGGGTACACTACTCGTAGGTGATGCCCAGCCAGTTGCAGCAGTGACACCTGAGCATAGACTAGCTGCGAACAATGATCCACAGAAGTTATTGGACAGATGGACTAGGCTACACCCTCCCATCTTCGGAGGTGAACGTCATGAGGATGCCTAGGATTTTATTGATAGGTGCAGGGGCAGACTGCACAACATGAGGATATTGGAGTCCCATAGAGTAGATTTTACCTCCTTCCAGTTAGAGGGCAGGGCCCGTAGGTAGTGGCAATCTTACCTTCTTGACAGACCATTATGTTCTCCTCCCATGACTTGGGATCAGTTTACACGACTTCTATTTGACAGGTATATTCCACCCTCTTTGAGGGAAGAGTTAAGGTGTCAGTTTGAGCAGCTCGAGCAGGGTCAGATGTCCGTGACCGACTATGAGACAAGATTCTCTGAGTTGTCTCGCCATGCACTAGTGATACTTGTCACACCTTCTTTTTCGCCCGCGCCGCCCGCAAAGGGGCGCGGAAGGGAGTTTTTTTTCCATTTAAAGGACAATCGAAACGAGATTTATTTATTTATTTCAGAGTCGCCACTTGGGAGATTTATGGTGTCCCAAGTCACCGGTTGAATCCCGAATCGAGGAAAAGAATGACTCTATTTAACAGTCTGCGCACCAGAAATCCGGATAAGGAATTCTATTAACCCGGGAGAAGGTGTTAGGCATTCCCGAGTTCCGTGGTTCTAGCACGGTCGCTCAACTATCATATTCGGCTTGATTATCTTATTTTATACAATTATGAACTTATGTGCAAACTTTAAACTCTTTACCGCTTTTATTATTACTATTATTATTTTAACAGAGAATTACAACATTGTGAAAAACGTATCTCGAACCATGTCACATCAATGTACCCATGGTTATCGACACATTTANTGAACAAACATCACCGTGTTCAAACCATTTTCATTTTTGATGTAGTGACGATCGAGTTCACTGGTTTGAGGTTGTTCATGGATGAAATCTGCTGTCTTTTTATCACCAAAGATTGTGCTGGAACCTGGATCAGTCTCTAACAAGTTTTACCACAACATCGACTTCCCAAAAGGCCACATTGCTATCAAAAATTTTGATGCTGAAGTAGTTGATGAGGTAGGGAATTCTGTACCCCTTCATGAGACATATCTTCATCACTGGGTTGTTGTAAGATATTATCAACGAAAAGGTGTGGAAGTGGCAAAGTACCACGACAATCTGGGGTTCCACCAATCAGATTTTATTGTTAAGAGAAACTCAGGGATATGCAATGGGGGTCTTACTCAATATTTTGGACTTGGGTCAGAGACCCGAAAGACAATAACGTATGTTCCAGATCCTTATGGTATAGAGGTCGGCAATCCAGTTGAAGTACCTCCGGGATACGAGCAGGGATGGTTGCTCAATGTACATGCAATTGATACACGAGGTGCCGAAGATAGATTGGGATGCACTGAGTGCAGATGTGATCTTTATAACGTTACCAAGGACGAGTATGACCGAAATATAGTGCCAGATTATGTCGGAGGCTTGAGATGTTGCTGCTCGCTGCTTCTTGACGGAAATGGAGGTGGTTGTTTGCAGGATCGTCGGCGGGTGGTTTGGGTGGAAGATAAGGTGAAGCAGATGCAGAAAGGGTGGTCGCCGTGGTTGAGCTAGGAACGAAGAAGAAGAAGGAGCAGCAGCCATGACAGTTTGGGTGGACGACGAGTGATGGACTGCTGGTCGTCATGGTGGTTCGTTGACTTGGGTGGTCGACTGAAGGAGCTGCTGGTCGTCATGGTTGAAGACGGACGACGGGGCAGTAGCTGCCATGGAGAAGAAGAAGAAGCAGTATCGATGGTGGTTTGGGTAGACGACGAGGAGGGGTGTTGTTCGTCGATGAAGACGAAACTTGGGCAGCAGCTGGTCGTGAGGAGGAGGCTGGAACTGGAGCTTGGGGTCAGCC